AGTGGAAATATTAGCTAGTAATATCATTTTTCAACCGCAAGTATTTTATTGTTATCGACAAAGTTATTACTTCAAATTTTATTTAAGTATCACATCAATGTTCTATAGCATTTTTGCTTAATAAAAATTAGTTTTAAACCCTAAGTGATATAACATAACTATCGAATCAACTTTCATTTCGCATTTTTATCGATCATTTCGAGTTATAGAAATTGATCTACACACTTTATCACATGCATTAACACATAAACATGATGCTCATGATATATTTTAGTACAAGATTTATGGTGTAACACTGAGGGTGTTACAAACAACACTGAACGGCATAACGAGTTCTGTGAGACTCAGCTCCGTTCAACCCTCTCACCAGAGATGGGACCTGCTCTCTCTCTCGCCCGTTTATAACCCCCTACTACAAACCAGTGCCGGTAACACGAGCAGCAGCGAACTGGACGTAGGGACATTCTGTCTGAACCAGTATAAATCATTGTGTCTTTCGAGCACAACCATCCGGGTCAGATGCGTAAATCACAAAATTTACTAGCCGGAGATCCGAAACACCGACACTCGTCATTTCAAATTATAAGACATTTTGATTTTTTTACATGGTGTATACCTATATACATAACAAAATATATATATATATATATATAGGAGAGGCTATTCAGTAGCCGGCTACAAAATAAGTTATTCTATAGCCACCTCCATTTACGATAATTTTATATACTAATTTACGATAATGTCAATACATATTTACGATAGTTGGGTTACTATAACACATGAGGATATTTACCATAACGTTATAGTAAACCACTTAGTAAGGAGTTACTATAATCTCGTAAATTAACATAGTAATTATCGTAACTCAAAGTGGCTATAGAATAAGTTATTTTGTAGCCAGCTACATGATAGTTGTTCTATATATATATATATAAAAAGTCAAAATATCTTATAATTTAGAATAAAATGCATACTATAGAAATCAAAATTTGTTTTTCAAAAAGAACTGTCTAAAAACAAAAAAAAATCAAAAATTTAAAATTGCCATGATAAATAGAAAAACAAAAGCACGAGAGTGCCACACTAGGAAAGTTGACACTAAAGGACGCTAATTGTAACTAAAGAATGATACTGCTGTTCGCCTGCAGATCCTGGCCAACGATATGAGGTAACACAAGGTAATTAGTAGGAATGGACAAATCAATGTTCAAACAAAATTTGAAATGCTCTATATTTTGTAACAACTTTGTTATTTAAATAGTTGCTCGTTGTGTTATTTAAGGCTTTGTGTGTTTCGAAATTTCATGAATGAGATTTTTTAGATTTGAGGTTTGTGTTGGGATAAATTATATAGAGATTTAAAGAAGGGAGTAGATTCTTACTACTTGTACTTTAGGTAATTAAATCTACCATATTGATGGTGCATTGTTCTTCTACCAAGAGTGGCCGACCGGAACTTGCCAATGCTATACAATTGGCTATTATCTTTGCCAAAGGTGTAGGGCAATGCCCAACGGTTTAAAAACTGTTGGCCATTCTTCTTACAATCCTAGTAGTGATTAGAGATAGTTTGGAAAATTCAAAATTTTAAATTTCAAACTATAAAATTTTAAAACATAATTCTAGGACCTTAATGATTCAAATGAAAAAAAGTCGTAGATTTTTTCGAGCTCTGCAACTTTTACATAAAATTCATCTTCATCTAACTTGATTTAGAAAAGGTAACATTGTTTTTGTGCTACACCTATGTTTAGAGGTTGGTTATATTGCCAACTGCCTTTAGAAAATTTGATTTTTAGAGGTGATTATTGGAAACACCGGCCACATCTATAAATAGGTCTCTAGAAGTGTTTTCAACCATCTCTAAAGACAAAGGACATTTGTAAAGGTGGCTAGAAGCATCAAACACTTTAGACTTCTGGAGACGGACTACTCTGAAATTATTTTCGGATATGGTTTTCAAAAATCATTTCTACATTCTACAAGATTGGCCGACGGAAGTGATGCATGTAGCAGACCCCGGTGCAATCACTTAACGTCTGAGTCTCCTAGCTATTTATGAAGGTCAAATAAACCTGATGCACGCATGGAACAAATTACGATGTCACATCTATGGGACTTGGGAGTTAGGACGAGAGAGGTGGGTCGGGACGTATGCTGGGTGTGTTTGGATTGAACCCTGGATGACCTGTTAGGAAAATTGAAGGCCTGAGAACCGCCTGTCTTAAGTCTATCGTTGTTTGGTGGCGACTGGGCTTAAGAAATATAGAAAATAAAGCTATAAACATAACATGTTGATTTTGCCGAGTGTTTGCCTGTCTAGTCATCTATACTGCAAAGCATCGTACATGTTTGGTTTTGAGATCTGAAGCTATTCACAGCGTGGGTATAATTTAGATAAAAATCAATTTCTGAATATTTATATAATCCAGAGTGCCTATAACGTGTTGACGTACCCATCTATTATTTAATATAATACTTTTTTCGTCGTAAAAAAAATCTGAACTAGTCCTTGTTGAATAATGGACAGATAGATGGTGTACCGTGTACCGGTGCTACGGGAGAACTGAAGGGTCTTTAGTTAGCTCGTGGTCGTGGGGTCAGCTGGCTCTGATTTCCGATCATGTGTTCTGTGTTCAGGAATCGTCGTGACCATGCTCTATATATATACTCCAACACGATACGTCTCAACTATTGGAAGGAAAGAAACGTACGTACATTTGTAAAAAAATTACATGTAGATACTCCGACATCGTGTGATAACTAGGCTCAAGATCTAGCAGAGGCTACTATCTCGTCTAGAGCAAGGCTAATAATACAACCTTAAGTTGGCTGAGCTCACCTACCAGTCCACTTATATAGTAGTAGTAGCTGTCTCATTTAAGACTCATATTCCACTCTGTTTCTCTTCTCCCTCATTTCTCTCTTCTCCACGTCAACATTCAGGTGGCTATAGTTCTCTATCATACTTGCTCTTACAACGTGTTTGCGATTGACAATAGGTTTAGCCAATGCAAACTCAACCGTACCAATAATCTCTCCTTGGTAGTGGCAAGATAGGAATTTATTACTACTACTAGGCAATGGTTGCCTTTAGGTCCTGAAATACTCGTCTGTTTCAAATTGTAACTTGTTATATAAACCATCTAGGTACATATCATTTTTTATACAACTAGATATAGAAAAAGTCAAAATAATTTATAATTTGAAATAGAGAAAATTTCTTGATTTTCCTTTGATCCGTAAGCAATGAAAATGGTCAAAATTTAGGCTACCAATGCCATTGACAAAAATTACCAGTTATGATGATAACACTCTGAACCTTCTGAGGCCTGTTTGGCAAAACTCACAATAACTTCGTGAGCTGTTATGAGCTGTTTTATTTGTCAAACACCCATTCCAAAACAGTTTCACCCATGAAGTTGTTTTCCCCCTCTCACAAAGACATGAGTTGGGATACAGCTGAAAAAAGTAGCTTATCCTAACTCTCTCCTATCCATGCATTAAGTTGTTGGTGAAGCTGTTTTGTCAAACAAATTTTCCAAAACAGCTCAGCTTCGTCTAGAAAGTTGCTTATGAAGCTGTTTTAAAAAAAACAGCTTTACTAGTGAAGTTGAGCTGTGCCAAACAAACCATAATTGCGCCAGCACTCCCAACCGGGCATGTCATCCAACAATAATAGAAAATTGAGACGACAGTACATGCTTTTATTCATATATTTTCTCTCCTTTCTAAAAAAAATTAATATAAATCTTGTTTTTCGAGGAGCCATTTTTTTAGTTTGACCAAATATACAAAAAATTAATGTTTATGGTTTGTAATGAGTATGACTAGATTAATAGTGAAATATATTTTCATAATAAACATATATAGAGAGAGATACAAATGTTGATACTTCAAAAGAATTAAAAGAGAGGGATAGAAGAAATTGGCAAACAATTAACCTCCATAGAGAAAAAACGAAATAATGAGGATAACAACACACACATCAAAGAGTGTTTTTTTCACCATTTGTTATAAAGAAACATAAGGCTTTTATGACAAAATGGCTAGAAAGGTTAAACCCTACGTACTCCCTTCGTCAAAAAGAATGTAACTCCATATTTAAACAAAATCAAACTTTTGTAATTTTAACTAAGTCTATAAACAAAATAATATTAATATTTATGTCTTCAGCTAGATTTAATATGAAAATATATTTTACAATTAATTTTTGAAAAAAAATAGGAGTCGTATTTGTTTAGCAAACAAAGAAGACTTAGGGCATGTTTATATCACCTCTTTAAATTTTAGAGTTTTAAAATCTTTTGAGCACTCTAGCTTACTTTTGAACTCTAAAGCTCCAATGTGAGGTGGGCTAAAGTTTATAACTAACTTTAGACCATTTATTTAAAGCTTTACCTTATAATTTAGAGCTCTGGATTTTAGAGAAGAAAATCCGCTCTCGTTGATGGCGGCACTCGACTAACCCGTTGGTACCTACCTCGCTAGGACGTGCAGAGAGGGCATTGGACCTTCAAGTCACGTAACGTGCGTACGTGACACTGGAACTAGCAACGGAAGTGCACTATACTCCTATGGTAGCAGAAACGAAGTTAGGAACGGGCTGGAGAGTGGACACCATCTAGGCGTGCATACCTGTCCGGCTGTACAGAGTCCAGACGGACAAGAGACAACCCAAACGGCAGAAACCCTCCAACTGTAGCAGCAGCCAGCAGCGGGCCGGGCCGGGGCGAGAGCAGAGCAGCAACAGCAATCCAGCCGAGGGAGAGGCCAGGCACGGCTGGGGCCCAACGAACCGTGGTAGGCCCAGCCTGTCAACGAGTCCGCTGAGCTCAGGGTAGCGGCGGCGAAGCTATATGAGAGCTCCCGGCTCGAGATCGATCCCTCCTCCCAAATCAAATCCCCAAACCCCCCCGGCCACTGCTCTGCTCCTCCTCCTCCGCTCCGCCGCGCGGTCGAGCGCCGACGAGCGAGCCCGCCGTTGCCTCGCCCGCCCTATGGCCATGGAGGTCGGCCGCAGGGTTCCACCGCCGCACGGGAGCGCCCCGCGGCGCCAGCCGGCGACCGGGGGCGGCGAGGGGGAGCGGGTGCGTGTGCAGGCGGGGGACGCGCTGCCGCTGCCGATCCGGCACACGAACCTCATCTTCTCGGCGCTGTTCGCCGCGTCGCTGGTGTACCTGATGCGGCGGTGGCGGGAGAAGATCCGCGCCTCCACGCCGCTCGACGTGGTCTCCCTCGCTGAGATCTTCGCCATCTGCGGCCTCGTGGCGTCGCTCATCTACCTCCTCAGCTTCTTCGGGATCGCCTTCGTGCACTCCGTCGTCTCCAACAGCGACGACGAGGAGGACTTCATCATCGACTCCCGCCACAAGCAGGCGCGGGCGGCGCCGCCGCCGCCCGCGCCGGCCCCGTGCGCTCTGCTGGGGAGCCCCGCCGCCGCGCCCGAGAAAATGCCGGAGGAGGACGAGGAGATCGTGGCCGCGGTTGTCGCAGGGAAGATCCCGTCCTACGTGCTGGAGACTAGGCTGGGAGATTGCCGCCGGGCCGCCGGGATCAGGCGGGAGGCGCTGCGCCGGATCACCGGGAGGGACATGGACGGGCTCCCGCTCGACGGGTTTGACTACGCGTCCATCCTCGGCCAGTGCTGCGAGCTGCCGGTGGGGTACGTCCAGCTTCCCGTGGGCGTCGCCGGCCCGCTCCTGCTCGACGGCCGCCGCGTCTACGTACCAATGGCAACCACCGAGGGCTGCCTCGTCGCCAGCACGAACCGCGGATGCAAGGCCATTGCCGAGTCCGGTGGCGCCTCTAGTGTCGTGCTCAAGGACGGGATGACGCGAGCCCCGGTCGTCCGGTTCCCGTCTGCACGCCGCGCCGCCGAGCTCAAGGCCTTCTTGGAGGACCCTGCCAACTTTGACACCCTGGCTGTGGTGTTTAACAGGTAAGAACGCTAGATTCCAAATCAACGTCACACTGTCCCTTTCGCTTTCCGCCCATGCTCCACGCGCTCAACGATTACCATTAGGCTAGGGCGGCTCTTGTGCTTGGCGACACGTCTCTGTGCATCCATCCCGATCAAAGCAACAGTTGCCATCCGACAATTTTTGAACCCATAAATTGCCTGTACTGTTGCCCTGTTTTTGAACTTGAGGATTTAGACTGGGATCATGTGACCGACCTGTTTTGGGAAATATTTGTGCAGATCGAGCAGATTTGGAAGGCTGCAGGGAGTGAAGTGTGCGATTGCAGGGAGGAACCTGTACATGAGGTTCAGCTGCAGCACAGGGGATGCCATGGGGATGAACATGGTCTCCAAAGGTGTACAGAACGTGCTGGACTACCTCCAGGCTGACTTCCCTGATATGGATGTCATCAGCATATCAGGTTTTCCTATGTTAAGTTTCTTAAATTCTATTTTCGAATTTTACCTGCTTTATTGTGCATCTAATTGTTTTTGTTTGAGAGAAGCATATTCAAATTCAGAAACCAGGTAGAAAAATTCTCACCGATTATACTTCATCTGATCGGAAATATAAGTCCATTCAGGCATCAACACGATCTCTAATACGACACTATGGCTAGCATTATCTATGAAATACAATATCTTAAATGAAACAAGTATAGTTTATGATGAAAAATATTGTTCATAATCAGTCTAGCATGCTTATCTTATGTTGGAAATCTATAAAGAATCTTAAATATTGATAGTACAAAGGTAAAAAAAAGGTTTGACTTGGAACAAACCTAGATGGACTATTATTTGTGAATGCCATTTTTTTTAACTCATATAGACTTGGAACAATCTAGGCATGACCCCAGTAGCTGATGTTGACTTCAGTTGCTCTCACTTATGCAGTTGTGCCTTTCTGTCCGGTTCCTCCACCTATATGCAATGAACATTTGAAGTACTAGTACTTCTATGGAGAATTCACACAAAATAAAAAAAAAGAGAACCACTGTGTTCTACTGTATAGTGTTTTTAAATGATATGTCAAATGTCAACTCATATCTTGTACATAGCATAAGTAATAGCAGTGAGCTGATTTCCAACATCACAGTAACCAAGTGGCCTAGCAAAGTGTAAAATAACAATTAATTATTGATATGAGAGAGATAGGAAGAACAGAAGATATGTTTTTTTGGTGGAATCATTATTAGAACCCGCAAAATTATCTCTTTCCATGTATCTTTGATGCCTTGTGTTTTCTTAACTAATATAATCTGTAATAAAATAGGTAACTTCTGTTCTGACAAGAAGTCAGCTGCTGTGAACTGGATTGATGGCCGTGGGAAGTCGGTGGTTTGTGAGGCAGTAATCAAGGAAGAAGTTGTGAAAAAGGTTCTCAAGACAAACGTTCAGGCTCTCGTAGAATTGAACGTGATCAAGAACCTTGCTGGTTCAGCTGTTGCTGGAGCTCTTGGGGGTTTCAATGCCCATGCAAGTAACATTGTGACAGCCATCTTCATTGCCACTGGTCAGGACCCTGCACAGAACGTGGAGAGTTCCCAGTGCATCACGATGTTAGAAGCTATAAATGATGGCAAAGATCTCCACATCTCCGTTACTATGCCATCAATTGAGGTTTGAAACTTCCTATGTTAATGATCCCTAATAATTTGGCATCCATGAGTTTTTTTAAGACTTAGTGATTGATTGAAACAATTATATACCATGCCCCACTTGAAAATAGTTAATTAGTAATTACAATAAGATAACAGAAAGTGCCCTTGTTTTAATGTGTGGTACTCTCATGGTAACAGTATTTGCTTCGAGCTAAAGCTTCCCTTCATTGAGTATATACATGGAACCTAGGAATTTGATCATCAAATCATTGTACAGTTTAGATGACTAGCTATGCTGTTATGATATTTAGAATAATGGATGGGGTCTATGCCATTGCCATCATGGCCTTTACCTATATTAGTTATTATATTCCTACATGATCTGATTTGTATATAAAAAATATGTAGCAGTTGTTCATTCTTGTTTTCATAATCAACAGGCGCTGGCAATAGCAGTCCATGTCTGTTTGATTAGCGTTTAATCTTGTAATTTTCTGTTTTCTATTGTTGAGATGGCATCTGGAATGGCATGGGTCTATGCCAGACACTTGCAGAAGATTGTTTGCTAGTGTCATTATCTTATGGCCATGCATTATGCTATAACTGATGGGGTGTTGTCCTAACCCAAACACAGGTTGGCACAGTTGGTGGAGGCACGCAGCTGGCCTCACAGTCTGCCTGCTTGGACCTGCTTGGCGTCAAAAGTGCTAACAGGGAATTTCCAGGGTCCAACGCGAGGCTCTTGGCCACGGTGGTTGCCGGTGCGGTCCTAGCTGGGGAGCTGTCCCTCATCTCTGCGCAGGCTGCTGGCCATCTGGTTAATAGCCACATGAAATACAACAGATCAAGCAAAGATATGTCCAAGGCCCTTGCAGAGGCAACAGCAGTCAAACCCAAGAAATGCTGAATAATATCAAGTTGTTGTTTTATACCCCCTTTGGGAGAAAGGAGCAGAAAGGGTCTCACAGGATGATTTCCTTGCGGCATGCTCGGGTGGAAAGGGAAAAACCCTTCAGGCGAAAAGAGAGAATTCAGTCGACATGTCATATTTACCAGGCGGTGTGAGACCTGTTGTGGATCCTGGAGTATGACCTATTTAATTCGTTGATGTTGTTGTTATAGTTCCTCTACCTGTCGTTGACCCCGCTTGCATCTTGTTTTGCCCGTCCGTCCCTTGGGCATTGGAGAATCTGATCTGACCATGGGTTTTGCAATCACTGGGGCGTATCCAGTGACCCTCGGGGTGGATCTCTGCTTTGCCGCGGTTCCGTCGCAGAAAAATTTTGCGCTGGCAACTGCCGGGTGCTTTGTATTTCAGCTTTGTAAATTTACTTTTATCCAATCCTTTTGAGTTGGAAGAGTCAGTGGAGTCGGTGATGTGGTTGTAAAGAAAAGGGTGTGGTTCAGAACACTTTTATACATCATGTTGCCTCTCTGCTTTCTCTATATCGTGGTCATCTCAATTGCATGCTCTGGTTGGCTGCCTGTCCACGGATCAGGTTTATGATTTAAATACAAAGCTGGTACTTTAGCAAAGCCAGATGCCGTTCACCATTTTCTATCGGTCGTCAATGCTTGGGATCCAAAATTCCAAAGGTTCTTCTATCTAGACAAGGAGTAATATTAACAAGGCAAAGATTTGTCTCTGTTTTGCAACGCAGGAATTTCAGCAATTTGCAAGGAGATTCCTTCGAGGAATACTGGCGTGGAAAATGGTCCACCGCTTGTCAAACACAAGGGTACATGGAAAAGATTCCAATCTTTGAACGAGGTTCGCGTGCTCCTGTGCGTGGTCCCCGAAGGCTCGAGTTGGTCCACTGCCGGCATGGCCCCCGGATTTCTGAATTTAGATGAGCTTAACTGCCGAAGTCTGTGTCCCCTTGGTAGGCCTTTCCCCAACCCTCACGCCTCGCTAGCTGGTGATCCGATTAAACGACCCTTCAATCGCTCGTCATGGTGTGCGAGTGCCAATTAAGGCCGCCTCAGTCGGTTGTTGTTGCCCGGCGCCGGCGGGGCGAGACACCTGCTCCAGTCCGCGAGTGCATCAGCTCGTCTGTGCTCTTGCCTGCCACAGTGCCACCACATCAATTGGCCGTGTCCCTGACGACTCCCTAAAGCAGCTAGAGAGTACAGACACGATTGATGACTTGACGCTTCCCAGTGTCATCAGAAGGTGCCCCGGTCGTCGGTGAGTGGACCGACATGCACTCTTGTCCACCAACGATGCAGTCACGCATGTGACTGGCGATTTGGCTGCTTGCTGCTAGTACCACTCACAGGCGCGCATGCGGCATGTCCGAACCATTCGCACGACGGCCTTCCGCCGTCCCCTCCTCGACACCTCCGCTCCGCCGTTGGCTGGGGTTGGTTTGGTTCGCGGTACACGGACGCGGGATGCCTGATGTCTGATACTCAACCCATCCCAAATTATAAGATGTTTGACTTTTTTGACATCAAATTTGACTACTCATCTTATTCAAAAATTTATGTAAAATATTACTTCTTTCGTCGTGGTTTGGTTTATTAATAAAAATTCTTCAAAAATGACTCAAATTTAACTATATTTATATAAATTTTTAAATAAGTGGTCAAACTTAAGGAAAAAAAATCAAACGTACAATATTTGGTACGGAGGAAGTACGTAACTCGGAAGTCGCAAATGGACCACGACGGCCCGGCACCCCGCAGATCATCATCCCCGTTTGTCATCCGGGTGGTGGGCTAGCAGTGGCACCATCGAGCCGAGCGTTATGAACTCATGATTAAACAAGTGGGCCGGCCCGAGCGAAATCCTCACGTGCGACGGCCCTAGACCCTAGTGTGGTAGGAGTCCTGTTTATCTTCGGTGCACAGTAGCCACGAGGCCGAGTTTTTTTTTTTGAAAAAGGTACATTTTACCTATGAACTATCTTTGAAGTTTAGAACTCAAAAAACGGATAAACCACGTCCCTCAACTTTTAAAACCGTTTATTTTATCTTCCTGATCCGGTTATAAGCGGTTTTCAAAGGCGGTTTTGTCTTTTTCTTTTTTTTATTTAGACTAAATATTTGGAAAATCATAGTAAATCACAGAAAAATCATAAAATGGAAAATTCAATTTTATTGGACTCCACATGAGTAGATCTACAAAATAAACATATAATATGGTGTGTTTTAGTACAAAATTTTTAATACAGTTCAATCATATAATAATTAGCCCACCATAAAAAATTCACCACGATTGGACCACTGAAACTACATCTCCTACAACTAAAAAGACTAAAAGTAAGACTATTTTTTTGTGCGACTTTTTTTTAAGTCGCTCGTCCCTTCTGCCCATGCGATACCCCGCGCGATAGAAAAATAAACTGTTATCCCGACGATCTCCGCCTGCTTTGAAGGAAACAAATCGATCACCTGAGGCCACGTGCATGGAAGGAAACAATAATCATGCATGGAAGGAAACAATTGGCAAAGATCAAGCAAGACTCCTCCCTTCCGGCCATGCGATATCCCGTGCGATAGAAAAAGAAACTGTCTTCCCTGCGATCCCCGCCTGCTTTGAAGGAAATAAATCGATCACCTGAGGCCACATGCATGGAAGGAAACAATAATCATGTATGGAAGGAAATAATTAGCAAAGATCAAGCAAGACTCCTCCCTTCTGGCCATGCGATACCCCGCACGATAGAAAAAGAAACTACCATCCCTGCGATCCCCGCCTACTTTGAAAAAAACAAATCGATCACCTGAGGCCACATACATGGAAGGAAACAATTGTCAAAGATCAAGCAAGACGACTCAATGAGGTTGGCCTTTAATTTTAGTGTTTGCAGCATGCAGACCTGAAATTAAAAAATGGCTGCTCCTTGAGAACATCAGTGGTGCCAAATAAAAAATGTGCAGGTTATACATGGTGAGACTGGTGAACCTTCTGCAATTTCCTAAACGAATATTCCCACCATTCGTATGTAGGTCCATTCCTCTGCGTTTCTTCGTGCTCCAATTAGCATATAATATAAAAGTATTGTTGTGTTCATCACGACTTATAGTTGACTACTCCCATTAGCATATACTTTCTCTGCCCCAAAATATAAGTCGTTATGGGATGTGTGCAGGTCAAACTTTCTCAACTTTGACTAGGTTTGTAAAAAATACGTACAACATTTATATCTCCAAATAAATTTATTATGAAAATATATTCAATGGTCTATGTAATGATACTAATTATGTATTATAAATATTAATATTCTTTTATATATAATTGGTCGAAGTTAAAAAAAGTTGACTTCTCGGGAAACGAGAATGAATTCTATTTTGGGACAGTGGGAGTATATGAAAGCAGTGTTGAAAATATTTTAACAATCAAGTTCGTCTCTGTCTGATTGGTAAACTTAGACACCATAATGGCATCAAAAATTTCGACTCTTATGGACACCCTCATGGATCATTGCAAAGCATCCCAATCCTACAGCATACACAAATGGCAACCTTAAAGTTATGATATTTTCAAAGGATAGATAATAAAGACCATCTTAGACGTTCTGGCATTAAAGTATATACGTGTAGATATATAGGCATGGTGGTGCAAGTGAGCAGCCAGTAGGAGTCGAGAGTTAGGGGGTGTTTGGATCTCAGGACTAAACTTTAGTCTCTGTCACGTTGAATTTTTAGATATCAATTAGGAGGACTAAACATAAGCTAATTATAAAACTAATTACATAAGTTGTGGCTAATTCGTTTGCCAGCGCCGTGTACAGGATGTCATGGAGATGTGGTGGAACTTATTCGTGGATTTGTTGGCATACGAAAGAAATGTATATCGAAAATCTCTTCCTGCCTATAAAAAATAATCTTAGCCGCATCACGGAAAGATCTACACAGTAAAGTTTGTGAGCCTACGACGTCATGCTCTCTGTGACTGTGTAAATTTCACGAACTTAGCTTTTTGGATTAAATGTCACTTTAACGTTGATCATATATTTTTATAGTATTGTTATCTTATCGTGCGATCCGTGTGTTTTTAATACAAAAGTTTAGCTGTCCTGTAGCAACGCACGGGCACGAACCTATTTACATATATATTCGAACCTGTGTGTACATGATTACATGGAGATGCAGTGGAACTTATTAATGGATTTATTGGTGCATGAAAGAAATAGATATCGTAGAATTCTTTCTGCCGATATAAAATATTATCTTAGCCGTATCACGAAAAAATCTATACAGTAGAGTTTGTGAGCCTGCGACGTCGCGCTCTCCGTGACTGTGTTAATTTCATGAACTTTACTTTTTGAATTAAATATCACTTTGATGTCGGTATTTAATTTAACAATATTGTTATCTTATCGTGCGATCCGTGTGTTTTTAGTACAAAAGATTTAGTTGTCCCGTTGCAACGCACGGACATGCTACCTAGTCTTTGAATTAATTACAGAAAAGGATAGATCTAAAGTTACAGTAAAAACTTTGTACTAAAGTATACCTGTCGGTGCGTAAAGTGACCAACAGGTAAGTATTTATAGTTTTGCTGTGCGTTGTGATCGGATATGGCCTAGCACTCAATGACACAGGATTTATATTGGTTCAGGCAACGTGCCCAACGTCCAATTTTAGTCGGTCAGTGACTTTATTCCTGAGCCTAGGTACTCAAAGTTTGCTATGGGGTTACAAATGAGTAGGAATAAGAAGAGGGTGTTAAAGGTCCGGTCAAACTTTGAACCGAAGGGCCGAGAGTGACGGGGCATCTAACGTGCGCTAAGTATTGGAACGTATGTTCTGTGCAGCTTTAGAGTTCTAGAGCTATTGAGACATTCGAGTTCTCAGGTCCTCGAATGCTCGAATCGTCTAGCTTCTTTTTTTTAGGAGAGCCAGAGAGCTCTTTAGGAGAGAGCTCATCCCCTTTTATAGTCGAAGGGGACGGCCTGA